TATTTGCAATGGTGAAAATTAAAGTATCGTTACGTTGACAATTGACTCATTTGATGAATTTGAAAAAAATATAACCTTATAGAAGGTAACAAAAAGAAACTTTTTTTCTATTTACAGTTTGTTCATAGAACGTTTGGTTTCAGAAATAAAAATTCAAAACTTAGAAAACCTTTAACTGATAAGCGAAGAAAACGAGAAGTAAGATTATGATAAATGTTTTAATTTTCGGGAGAGGAACACGTGCTACAAGGATTTCGTTATGATTGTTCTCATGCGTTTCAAATAGTAGCATTAAGGAGATATTCTAGTCTAGAACTTTCAAATATGAATATATTAATTGAAATATAAATTGTTGTTGAAAGAATAATTGTGATACGTTACATTTTTCAACTACCTGAAAAAGAACTTTCAAGTAGAGAAAATAGCTTTACATTTACTGTGCTGATATCGGGTTGTCCAAAAAGTTTCTTCCATTTCATTAATAAGTAATACATACATTATTGAATTGCATACGATTCATTTTTGCTTCGTTACAACATTAACATCTAAGAAATTAGGTCGTCTATTTATATAAACACAGTCACACAAAATAACTGGGTGCAAGTTGTGGAAGAAATTTTTGGGACAGCCTAATATATAAGAAAACAATTAAGATAAAAACTTGACACTTGTACAAGTGTCAATCATATATTGATTATTTTCACCTTCAACAAATTCTATACGTCTTTAACATCTGAACAAATATGTGTGCGAAACCCTTTATACAAATTCCTTATAGATTAAGAAAAAGAATCCTCAAAAAGGACTAAAAATTTCCGCTCTAGACTAGAATACCCCCTTTTTTTTTATCCAGGAGCACCGACATATCTTCTGCAAGAAGAGAAACGAGACTAATTTCAATAAATACTCTATTAAACGCCATTCATGTATTACATAATAATCATACAACATATTCGTAGCGCATAATGATATCAATGACAATTAATACAAAGTAAACCGTAAACAATAGCGTCTCAACTAATATTACAGGTGTACACCTTTCCCGTTCGACTTCGCAGACGGAGGACTATCGTTAAAGAGAGAGAGACGTCCTGACAGAAGGAAGGTAGAACGGAAAACGAGATAATATGGCATCCTAGGACTTCGTTTTATCGTGTTCCGAAAAAATAGCGGTTATCCCCGTTCTCTATTAGACTCTACACTACCGATATCGAGTCGATCGAGCTCGTCCAATCTCTTACTTTCTCGTTAAACAAAATATTTCCGCTAAGCGCTAGCGACTTTACAGGTTTCTCCAAGGTTGACACCCTTAACACGTTCAATGCCTCTCACCCTATATTACAGGTATGTCACGTATCCATAAGTTACATTTACTATCAACGTTAACTCCGAACCAGCGAAATCAGATTAACTCGACTGCAGAGGAAAGAAAAGAGCCGAGAGGGAGAGGAACTGACTTTTTAATTAGCACAACGCTAGGTATAATGCAGAACTAACGCTGATAGTATGCAGCTTTTCTGCCAAATGGTGTACAAGTAGACGCTGTAGATGTTTATACAAATTAATGGTTTCACAGAACAAAGAATTTAACACGTTCACTGCCAGACTAATAATCATCAACATTTCTACGAGGCTAAAATTGTTATTTATACAATCATAAGTGATATAATTCAACATTTGTGGTGGTACGTATTTGTACAATCTCTTTCAAATTTACCAATTCTATCCGGATTCATTTTTGTAACACTCTACGTTGAGATTGAACGCATTTAATTCCTTAGTGAAGATCCTTGGGCAAATATGAGTAACGTAGCAGTCAATGTGTTAAATCAAAGTACGTTTCATCTTCCAAATGCTATAACATGTATACTATCTCTGACATTTTATATAACTTTACATTTACAAGCATTCTCATACATTTCTCTGTACTTCCATCTGCCATAAATGCACAAACATCCGCAATCTGCTTACAGACCATAAATTATCCGGCTCCTAAAACTATATACCATTAGCTTTAATAAATAGTACTAATCAAAAAGTCAACGTCACGCTTGTTGAAGACTTCCCTCTCCCTGCAATAGGGAACGCGTTGGTCTCGCAAGACGTATTGCTGTACATGCTCTTAATTCTAGGATAACTGGTGGAACTGTACATTTGGAAATTAACCTATTATCAATCACCGATAAACGATAAACCTCAGCGACGATTCTACGTGATCGCGTCGTTGCTCGAAGATAGATAGAAGATCATTGTGGTCTGGAGAAATCTAGACACCCAACCGAACGCTAAGAATAATTCGAATACGTTTACTTAACGTCTAACTTGTAAACTTGTATACTTTCCAGAACGATCGAGTCGTACAGGTGATCCCCTAATTATTACGAGCAGGACAGTGTGAAAAATCGATATGGATCAACGATACTTAGCTTTACGATCGCCAATTACAATCGCGTTAATAATCTAAAGCCAGCGACTGACTTGCAACAGAAAACTGTAATGTAACTTCTCGGCTGAATTCTCTCAATTCAGTGAAAAGTAGACGATCAAAGAGGTTCGTCAAAAAACCGTCATACCAGTGGAGCACCAGTGGACTAAGCGAATGCTCGCGTTACATTACAATGTTCTGTTGCAACTCGCAAGTCAGTCGCCGGCTTTAATGGCGCGATCGGCACGAGGACAGTGAAAGTGATCGAAGGAAGGAAGTATCTCGAGTTCCTTCGCGGCAATGAACGTATTAACGTGTCGACGAAAGATTTCATATAGCATTCGTTTTTCTTCTAAATATCGTGTTGTCTTTTCGCTAGCTTACAGGGGGAGAGTTACATAGATTGCTACTGCCCTATGATTCTCGATAAAATATGCGTTTTTATATATGTATATGTAATATTGTCCTGTTACACTCGATCACCAGTAAGTTTGCACAGACGTTTGGCGGTTTCGTTTCGATCATGCTCGACGATACACTACCGTGGCGCGTCGTCGACTTTCGCCTGACCGTTAACTGAAAAGTGGAACGTGAGGTATAAAAACAAGTGTGTTCGTCTCGCGCCGTTGACCCTGGAAAATAATTACAATTTTACTTTAAACTATCGCTTCAAGTTGATTCTCTAATTCTGCTAAAGGTGGGTAAAAAGCGAGCAGAGGCTCGCATATCGACACGGGACAGGTTCGATGGTGCACAGGTACAGACACCACTCTCTTAAACTTAATGGTGACCAGTTTCTCGTGTGATCCGTAGTCGTTAATTGAACATGTAATTTTATCGTCTAGTCTCCTACGGCCGTTGCTCTCGCCAAGTCCTAGAACCGTATTATACAAGGACAGCTAAGCTAGATAAGTCTCGAGCTTGGACACCTCAGGCGTCAGAGGTGCACGTCTCAACATTCATTGATTACTTGTCACGCCTAATTAGGAAGGTTTACTCATATGGAAATCAACTGGCAGTCATTTTCTAGATGAACATTTCAACATTGGTATACTTATCGCATTGCTAGTAATTGATAAGAGATTGGAATCCTGGTACTGTTCGATACCACACTTTCTGATAAATTGTCGTTGTAATATTACAATAGGTATTCGGATAGACCTAGCTCAAGCTACGATGGCCTTTTTTTAAACAATGTATATGGTACATTCCATGCCGAATCAATCAATTTTGAACCTGCAATTTTTTCTATTTGTCTGAAAATCTTTTTATATTATTCTAATCTCTAAAAAACTATTTTTTAGTACACCACGTGTACTAGACCTGAATGGACGTATGGCATTTGTTGACCAAAGTATCTGCACTGCTAACGAAACGTCAAGATTACAGAACTCCAGTTAACATCTACATGTACTATAGCACGATATTGTAACACGATTATTTTTCTTCAAAATTTGTTTTCAAATTCAATTTTAATCCATTCGATGGCCACCTATATTTAAATTTTGATCTAGAAAATTACCGATGGTTGATTATTCACCGAATAGTATTAATTATTGTTATACTGTTCTCCTTTTAAAATAACTCTCATCAAATTTACGTGCAAATTGTACTTTACTGATCCTCGATATAGATTCTTTAACACACTGACTGCCAGACTATAATACTCTTTGAAATTTTTACTGTGATTTATATTCGTTTGCAAGTTATTGGAAACTACACTTATCAAACGTTTATTACGATATCGTTTTTCATCGAAATTCAACTATTTCATTCAAATTTATTTCCTTAACTTTCAGAATTGCTGCGCACCTCTGACCTGTTGCAGTCCAACGCTTGGAATAACATTTTCTCACACTCCCATCGATTCGTTCTCCCTCTTTCCGGGACAAGATTCATGTATCTCCACACCAACCTGGCAGCGTTAGACAAGAATAGCTGACTGTGATCGTTTCTATCTACACTCGTTCCCTTCTGTCCCCATACTTGCGTCAACTTCTGGATCATTGCACCAGTTTCAAAGGAATTCTGTACTAAACGGTACAAATGTTCCCTACAAGATGTCCTCGTTTCGTCCAAACAAGGATTATTATTCTCTGCGCCAACGCTACAACTCTAAGAATCAAACAGTTTCGTGAAACGACATTTCAACTAGACAAGTTCAGTTTGTATTTAACAAAGCCAGACTCCAAAAACAATTCCGTCAACAGAATTCTCTTACAACACACGTAGTTTACACCTGTTGCGCGCACTCTTCTCTCTGGTTGTTCTTTAAATAAATATGCTAGCAAATTTTTTACACACTTCCAAGTGACGGAACGAGAAAGAAGAACCTAGATATACTTTCATCGACCCTCGACGCGCGTCGAGCTTTCGATAAACGTTCCCGCTTCGAATCTCGTTTCTCGGGGGCTCCCTCCGTCTCTGTACACGGCATGTTCTCGCATTCGAACCGACCACGAACCGTGGGGGCTACGACACCACGGAAAACAAGATAAAACACCTTGGTACGATTGGTCTCCCGCTTGGGATTCGTGCAACCTCCAAAAATAAACGACGCTCGGCGGTTAAACAGCCAACGATTCTTTCTGGAGGTAACTGCACATGCGTTGCGGGGTGGGTGGGGGGCGCGAGAAACGAATCCCGAATTAGACCTTAGAACAAGAATTACTTGCTACGTTAATTAATAGTACCATACTGAATCGTAGACTCGCGATATTACATTCATAATAATCATATGAGTATCATAATCTTAACTTGTGTACACAGTTCGTTTAATTACCTAATTAAGACAGTTTCGGAACGGTATACGGATAGAGAACATTAGTGAGACCGACTAATATTCCACTCTTCTCTCGTTCGCTCTCGCTTTCGTACCGTTGTCTATACACGGCGAACAGCGTGAACGTACCAGCGACCACGGGTCTCGAATAATTACGTTTACGTTGCCATTGGCATTAACACGATACACAAAGTAAATCACGACAGGAACATTTTGCACTATTTAATGCAATGTAAATAATTTTTTTAATGTTCCAGATGCGTCGCCTGGAATGTTCGTATCGACGTTCGCAACTTTGCAAACTTATTTATATCGCATTAAATAGTGCAAAATGTTCCTGTTGTATCTACTTTTTGTATTATATTAACGTTAATGGCAATGTTAAAAGTTGATGTAAAAGTTGTTTATATCGCATTAAATAGTGCAAAATGTTCCTGTTGTATCTACTTTTTGTATTATATTAACGTTAATGGCAATGTAAAATAAATTATACGAAGCGATTATTGGTACGTTCATCCCCTTCGCTGTGTATATATATATACACATACATATGTATATATTTATATATATATATAT